GTCACTGTAACAACATGATTATGGGACAATTGGGCGAAGTTCGCTCGTGAAGTAATCGTGTCACAACGTCATATCTAACAAGTACTTACTCAAGATTGTTAAAAATCAGTAGCAACCCAAGTACAGTGAGCAAGTCACACGGTACGGCGCCCGACATTTTTAATTTACTAGTGTTACCCTACTTCAAGGTAGCACGATACAGTGCCAATAAATTATGGAAACATAGGGCGAACTACTCTGTTAGTAGCGATGTAATAGTAGCACGACGTCATATTCTAAATTTAAAAAGTCTAGATTTTTCGATCGACCTGAATTATGTTATTGTTTTGGTAACAGGAAAACCGGTAGCCTATTTCTGCTGTGCCGTAAAAACGTAATATATATATATATATATATATAGTAACACTAGGAAATGTCAATTTTCAAAATTCATGTTCAGTGAGTATTGCTGCTTATACTTAATTATTGATTTAACACATCGTTCAAAAAATCAGATACATAGGTACAGTAAGACAAAATCAGACATTGAAAGAAGAATAACACCGTCAACTTCAAGTTAAAAGAATTATTCCTATAATTGTTGAATATTTGATGGGTAATTTACGAAAATAGTTTTCCTTTTATTTCCATAAAAATGTTACTACTTTAAAGACTACAAAAGCTGAGTTGTAAACCATTTTTATAGCATGTTGTATATTAATAATATTAATTGTTAACATTAAAATTAAAATTACATTATTAAAATAAAACGTACTGGTTATATAAAATAAAGTCCAACAGCACACTGAGTGGTAGTGTTGTATAGATATTCCAAGCCTGTCTATCGTCCGATTAGTGGTACATGCAATCATTTCACAGACACGAGTACGACAGTCATATAATACTCCTACAACGATGTGAAATATAAAATACTAATCTAATATTATTTAAATATTTACGACAATTTTTACGACCATAACTTTATGAGGAACATTCGTACAAACATCACATGGAATGTAAAAGTAGTGCAATCATAACCGTAATAATCAAATTCATAAGTTACATATTTGTTGTAAATACAGGATGGCAATTAAATGAAAACTTATTACAGATAGTTTTTTGATAAAAATCAAGATTTTCGCATTTTTATCTTTTTTAAGAGAATCTAGAACTCTCATCCAAACTCGACGGCAACTTTTTTCATATACAACCTTTGGAACAAGAGACATATGTTCAAATAGGCTTAACAGGTGGTTTTGAAACATGATGTTAAAACATGTGATTATTCCTCATTTGCATGTTAAGATAGAAATTAGGAAACGACGGGAAATTGCAATGATTACCCGGGGAGTGTTTCTGCGCTCGAATTTACCTTTCCCAAGTCTCCCGAAATAATCGCAGGCGGAACTACCCAGCACTGGTTCAACGGTCTCACTCAACGTAACGGATATATTTAATTGTTCTATTGTCGTATTCAGAGTAGTGCGCGGCCATTGAATGATGTTGGACTATCGTGACTATGAAGGAAGTTGACAACATAGTTGAACTTTTTCCCCATTCTTTTCCCCAAAAGTATCTACGTGGGAATGACGGCACTGCTAAACGCGTGACGACTACCGACTGATTGGTATAAATAGGTGAACGTCTTTATGGGTTACTTAATCAGATCTAAAGACGACTGAAATACTTGTATATTTACGAGAATCTACGATGGGCTTTTTAAATATCCTCAGAGTAAGTACAGTTTCTATTTTTTTATTATACTGACTTGAACAACTCAAACTACTGCTCGATTCGCCAACTAACCAACATTCGCCATTTGTCATAGGGGTTGATGGCTGATGGGATAGTTTCATTCCAGTTTACCTGTAAAGGCGGATGGATTGCTTGGCTGTTTAGTGTCGTCGCGTTCGTACATTATATATATTTATCTGATTAGGAGTTGTCCTAAGACTATTCGATGTCTATTCATGACGTAAGATTTTAGGAATTCACCATTGTATGCGTAGGCGAGGGGAAGGCGAATACTTTGCGAAGAACAACTCGTCAATAACGTTTGTGTTTACGATGTTCCGCACTACAGCTGACACTCGTGCATGTATATTTATTTTCAATGGTAGAAATGTGTTACAAATCTATTTATGAACTGATCGCATTTTATATCATAATTGTTCCGTTAAGGTGTACAGAAAATTTCGAACCACTGTGCCGTTATCGTGGCATTACCTTGAAAGTATTGCGAAAGGGCCTTCTGTAGAAATGTAACATTGAGCGCATCCCCAAATGAAATTAAATGGCAAAGTGTACAAATTTACCCTCACTATGATAACGGAACACCTAAATAATTTAGACAATAAAATGAGTATATATTTATACGAATGTACATGGCACCTTTTCTGATCTACAGTCGCCTTGAAGGTCGTTTTTTATTGCTTTGGATGAATGATTGGCAAAAGCTGGCCAACCAAGAGTAAAGTGATATTTCAAATACATTATTACCTCGTACAACATTCGAGACAAAACATCGTCCAAGCTGCAAAACATAACTTTATATGTTCATTATTTTCAGTGTACTGTTGTCCTGCTGTGTTCTTGGTGTGTAATCGCCAACCCAGTCTGTCAGGAACCTGCAGACAGTGTGCTCCGCCAAATGTTGAATGAATATTCACCAAATGCCTTGGACTACAGTGTCACAAGTGGTTCATATAGTCCGCCTACTACTACTGACTGTCCAGCACTAAATTTGGTTCCGGCATCGGCTCCCCAGTCTGAAGGTACCACGTGTCCGTGGTACAACATAGAAAACACCAGTGTAGCCCGTTATCCAACAACATTACTTGAAGCTCAATGCTACGATTGCACCAACTGTATTAGCGATATGTTCTCTGATGGCAAGCATCCCGTCTATAGATGTGAACGTGTAATGCGAAGAATGTGGGTTTTACATAAAACATATGAGTGTAACAACGGTACATACGAATACAGTCCTGCAGAAATATATTTGGCACAGAATTGCGTTTGTGGTCGAAATAGAAGTGCATAAGTTGTTTGACAATTAAAGCTAAATTAAAGCTAAACATACTTTAACCCACTGTGACGTCACGGTGTGGATTTTAAATTGTGTTATGTAACGGTGCTAACGAATTTCAATTTCAAACAAAAGAACTCAAGCCGTATTTTCTTCACAACCTACAATTTTTTATTTGACACGTGACTGTATTTTTGTCATTTATAGGTTCTTCCATGCAGTAAGTGTGTTGTTGCTATGCAACTAAATACTAACTACGAAAATGGCTGACAATATTTGTCAGTTTTTGTTTAGTTTTGAAATCTAACGCAAGTCATGCGTAATTTGTATGTATGTTACGTTTAAGTAACTAATTTTCTGTATTTTTTGAGCATTGTGTGATAACAACGTCTACTGTAGTAACTTAGTATTATATTAAAATAATATTCAGCCTGGTATTTATCATTTCAATGCGTTTGAATTAGTGTGTGTGCTTATTTTCTATTTTCTCAGGATATCTTTTCACTAACTTTTCGGTATACACCCCATGACAATTCTACATACGTGATTCACCCCATTAAATTATTAATAAAAGCACTCCTGATAAATGAAGTATTATTTGGCATCAACGAAGTGCAACTGTTATGTATATTAAGAACCAATATTAAATGGAACTCACCCTTTTTAATAACGTCACTTCGCGCAATGTGCGCCTTTTCGTCATATTGTAATGCTTTGATGTCTGCAAGCGGG